CGTAGGAGGCTCGAGCGTCCAGCTAAGTGTCAGGGTTAGTGCGTCAGGTCGGGTCTTGGGAAGCCGCAACACTTCGTACCGCTAGCCACCGCTGTCCTCACGCCTCGGGAGACGGTGAAGCTGTTCGTCCTGCCCTTCCTAGTTATCAGTGGAGGCATGGGAATCGGCTGGAAGGTAGTACATCTGTTGGGGAAATGTTCAAGCTCTACTATACTTCTTACTCGCGAGCAATGTCGACGTTCAGGTCACACAGGCGTGTACTGGTATGCGGCATCCATCGGAGCTCGTTACTACGCTGAAGTGGGTACAAGGTGCCGGGCCTATGCCGGAATGGCGCACACGCCGGTCGCCTGTAGTCGAATGAGATATTTATCACTGACTTTAAGGATCGTTTCTTCCTATAGAGTTGCTCTACAGTTGGGGCGTGTGGGGGTATTCGGCGTTTCGGGATTGAGTTCTACCTCGCTGTTAGCGTTGCATGTTTGTCATGGAGGGTAGAGAGGAAACTACAAAGGAGAGGCTCTTTCCTAAGCCCAGTCCGCAGCTGCCCAACTCGGCTGTTTTCCGAAGAGACTATCTCATACCAAACCGGCCGGGCTGCTTCACTGTGTCTGCGGAGGCTATGGGGCTATCGAAGGAGTTTATGGAGGACCCTGTTGGGTGGATCATAGCCCATTTTGGTGACAGAGAAGTTCCTGTGTCGCGGAAGGGCTCGGAGGAGCAGGAGTGCAGAGAGGGTAGTAGAGGGTGGGGTACGACTATTGCTATTGCTGGTTCGACGAGATGAGTTTGCCCATGGGGGCTCTATATAGAGGAGGAGTTGAATTGAATGAGGGAATGGTGAGGGAGTGCATGCGATAGTCAAATACGGTGGTAGGCATGTTGTAGCAGTGGTGGGTAAGCGGAGAGTGGTATCTCTTCATTAGGTTTATATACTTTATTTTTATTGATAATGACTAGTAATAGGCATCTTATGATTTATTATTCGTAACTTTTTTCTGGAGCAACACTCCTTTGACCATGCAGTTAGCCATTGAGGGAGTATGGCTGCGAACTCAGCTCCGAAATGAGCGGCCGAGCTCAGCTGTATGCATCGAAACAAATTCATATATAGTATATGTATAGGATCGGGTGTAATCGGGGGGAGGCGAGTATCATCCAGCATCCGCATACTTGTATACGGTTGTTCATTGGAGTTTCACTCTAGTGATACGAAAAACACTAGTGAAAAATATATTTCACGACTACTGCATATCACCGCGAATATCGCGTTTTCCACAGAGTATTACGCCACTTCACGTAAGATGGGTGAAACTTCATCATATAAACATATACAGACATTTTCTGTTTGATAGTTGCCGCTCGTGGGGTTCGAACCTGCGATCGTTTGCTCAGACACTCTGCGGCATTGGTATGAGGAGCTCCGACAAGACGAGTGGTATTTGAAAGATTGGAATTTCCAGTCCGAATGCGAAGGCCTGGGAATTGAACCTCCGTACAAATGTCCTCCGCAGTTCTCCGATGACTGGCTGAATCCGTATTGGCATTCTATCGAGCCCAAGGGAGGTAAGGATTATCGCTTCATGTATTGGGGCTCGGAAGGGAGCACTACACCTAATCATTTCGATGTGATGATGAGCCATAGCTGGTCTTATAATGTGAGAGGCAGGAAGGCGTGGAAATTTGGGGCGCGCGAGAATTGTAAGGAGCTGAGCATTGAGTTCGAGCAGGGCCCTGGCGAGGTAGTGTTTGTGCCGAGTGGGTGGACTCACAGTGTTGTGAATTTGGAGGAGGATACCATATCGATCAACCATAATTGGTTTTGTGGACCGAATATTCGGCGAGTGTATGCGGCCTTTGAGGCGGACGTGGCGGAGGTGATAAGGAATCTGCATGGATTCGGTGTCGCACGGGAGCCCGACGCTCAGTGGTATGATGAGCATGTGCAGCTTATTCTGAAGGGTAATGACAGTATGGATATCACTATGTTGGTTGACTGCATATTGATGGGCGTTGAGAAAATGCAAGAAGCTTGTGAGAGTTCTTGGATGAAATACTCTTTGGACCAGGTGAGCGAAGTTGGAGTCGTGGGACGCAGGGCTGAGTTTGCTGTCTTGATGAGAGTCTTCATTGTGAGGGAAATAATTACGGTATGGTATTTTGGCTCAGGCGAACATGGTACTGTTGGACATTCTGTCTAAGTATAGATCGGTCCTGAACGACACCACCATCGACACTATCAGCAACTTTGTAGATTTTGGAAGCGTTTCTTGTGGTTCCTCGACTATTGCTTCCGAATGACAAGTTCAGCTCTTTTGTTGGTGCTGATGATTAGGGCAATTTCCAACATCCTGCTGTTAGATATTCTTTTTTCGCCTTGTACTATGTCTCCTTGTGTGGAGGTGTCCCCGTGCATATTCATCGTCCTAGGGCTGTGCTACGGTGTCGTACTAGTGGCCATCATCTGTTCCCTCATATCAGTGTATATAAAGCAAGCACAGCCTGTGTGGGTGATCAGTCTAATTTCTGTAGCTCTTGCCTGGCTGGCCTTCGGGGTTGCTTTCAAGTTCGTGTTCTCTGTAAGAGACACAAGGCGTCGCCGACTCGACATTGGGGTGGAGGAGAAGAATACCCAATACGGCTATCAACGAGATTCAACTAGCAGCAGTGCTGATCGCCGCCTTTCATGACACAGTCTTGACTCTCTGAGTGTACCATGGTTCTGTAAGACATGCTGTACCCTTTTGCGTTTTTTCCTGTGATACCCCTGTACTCAGTAAGTCGGGTCGCTCTGATCTGGAGACCTTGGCGCCTCCATTTTCTGGGTAGTCATTGGATCGATCGTGTCGCATATTATGGAGTTGTCCC